AATCAGGAAAAAAATCAAAAACTGTGAGAAACCACTTGCTTTATTTGTGCATGAGATATACTTGTGAAAGCCTTAGATAACACTAACACATTCACTGACTTTATTTATTAGAAAAAATACTTTGCCTAATTTTGGAATGCTGTGAAACATACTGGAAACTATTTTTTTCCATACTGAAAATGCTGAAACACTTATTTCTCTAGTTAATATACATAAGTTAAGAAAATCACTTTATTGAAGCGAAGATCTCTTACAGAAAATAAATTCCACGCTGAGGAATGAAACACCATTGAGTTTTCCCCAGCAAATGTCCTTTTTCTTCACTGGCTGCCCATCATGATTCACACAGAGGCAGGACCTGTAAATTCATGTCTCTTTGGGAATAAGTCAAAATTAGAATTACNGTGCAAGCTCCGCATCAGGATTATTTCTTGTGTCAGTCGTCTTTCCTGAAGAAACCCTGCTGGAGCGTGTGCACCGAACGTGATGGACGGGAATCTGGGATGGCTGCTGTCCTTATCTAGGAACACAACATGACAAGAAGGGGGAACAAGATCAGAGTGAAGGCTCAGAACTCAGATGGCAAGAACGCGCAGTGAAGCAAAGCACTCTCTGAGGTGCCAGCTCTCACACTCAAATTTCTTAGCAGAAGGTTTTCCCTTTTCAAGGTCACCACTCCGAGGGGACAGACTGGGGGGAGCTATATGCGTAGTATTATAAATAAATGGGAATGCATGGAAACCTGTGTATCAAGCTGTCTCCCACAGGTAAGTAAGGTAGTGTCTTTTTACAAACTCAGATCAACTAGCCGTAGACACAGGCGTGAGGCAAACAAATGCTTTGCCTTGTTAAAGGCCAGTGCTAAACTGAGGGGTACATGGCACAGCCATATGCAAGTGGTTGTTCTGTTTCAGTTTGTTTTTTAAGATGTGGTTACCAAAAAGCATTATGTCTGAGTTTCATCCCTTTGACCTTGAAAAAGCCAATCTCAGAGAAGCAGG